GTTTTAGTTTTAATAGGCATTTGTTATTATATAACGCTTATCCAGCGCCACACGTACAGCCTTTCTTTGGAGTATTTACGATCTATAAAACTAGCAGTGGAATTTTATATTACAAACCATCCAATTTCAAAAAAGCTAGATGGTTAGAGTGGAAAAATAATATTACTTTTGTTCTTAAGATCAAACCTTATTTTATAACCCTAGGGGGAAGTTGAAGATACATTTACTTATTTGCTGTAGTGATAAATGTTGCTATATTCATGATGTGCACTGTTTGTTCCAGGCCCTGTGCTAAGCACTTTACGTGCGTGCTCTAATGTAAACCCCCCTCAATCCCGTGGAAGTCGGTATTATTATCCCATTGTATTCATGTGAAACGGAGGCTCAGGGCAAGTACTTTAAGGAAACCGGGATCCGCTTTCCGGACTGTAAGGCCGCAGAGCTCACGTGCATAAGCTGCGTCTGGAAAGAAGCCACCCTGCCTTTTCTATTTATCTTCAAAGGGTTGGGTTGTAAGTGAGGCCTGGACGTTTTATTTCCGCACCATGAAGACTGGTCAAAGTGACATAAGAAAAAACAATCTACAGGACACTTCGTACGTCATTTCACATCCCGAATGTGAAGAGCAGGGTGGGAGACGAGGGGAACTGGTTTGAAGGGCTCTGGGGGACTGGGTAGAAGTGATCCCGGGTAAACTACGTGAAGGTCGTAACTGGAGCTCACGCTGTCGGGAATGGAGTAACGGTGTCTGCCCCTCGAGAACAAGCGTACACACCGCGTGTTAACACCAAGCACATTCTAAGGTAGGAGAGTGTTCTTATACAGTACCTGTAACACTTTAGCGGTAGCAAAAGCCGTTCAGTGTATGAGGATATCTTTAACTAAAAGAGAAAATACGAGACTGCATTGCACGGTGTAAGCTCTATGTATTGTTTTGTGGAATTCTGGTCCCAGCTGTGTGTGTTGTCCTCGGCTATCGGACACCAGAGCTGTAAAGGACAGAAAGCTTCGGGCCCAGCCACAGGGGCACGTGTTCCTAAACACTGCTTCTTGCGAGCTGGGGCCACACAGGAGACCCCGCTGAAGTTGGGCCCTGTGACCTGACCCCTCTGCTGCTGAGGCTGGCCTGGGCCGCAGAGTGAGACCCCGTCAAAAAAAAGCCGTGTGAGGTGGTGGACACCTATAGTCCCAGGAGAGGCCGAGGCAAGAGGACCACCGCGTGGCGAGGTACTGTCTTTGAAGGAAAAACAAAACAAAACAGAACACACACACACACACACACACACGCACGCACGCTTCACTCGGAGTACAGGATTGCAACCTGGAAAGCGTATTTGGGTAGAAGCGAAGTGTGCCCAAGTGCTGAGCAGAGCAGGTTGGTTTTATAAACAGAGGAGGGCTGAAGACAACATAAACACATACAAAAACACAGATGGGTCATTTCGAAGTTCCTGTGTTTGCAAGGTTTAAAGCAGATGGGAATTCTTATTAAACTGACTCAGTGGGCTGAGTGTCCTGGGTCCAGGGAAAATTCGTCTGCTGGGGGCTCTGTCTACTTCCTTAAAGTTCCAGCTTGATGATATGACATTTCAGCACGGCTGACCCCACTTAGGGGGTCTGTTTGGGAGCTTAGTCCGAAACAACAGCCTCCAGTAACTCTTATTTAACCGCGTGTGTGCACATGCGCACGCACACGTACACACGCACACTGGGTCACCGTATGAAGGAAGTCCTTCCTGTTGAGATTGGCCAGCTGTGGAAAACATTGAGACGTGAAAACACAAGTTTTAAGGAGGCGGATACTGAGGTCAGCCGGTGG